CAGAACCAGAATTATCAACAAGATATTAGGTGCTCGAATCTCTATAAAAAGATCTTAGAGGCTCAGAGGGACTAGCTGGAGCAAGGGATTTGGTTTTTCTTATTGCAACAAAGAACTATAGGGTCTAGGAAGAGCTATATAAAGAGAGCCCTCAATATTGTTATATTGTTCTTAGACCAGTTGATTTACTCAAAACATACAAGAAACAAGAATCTTAAAAATAAAAAAAAAACAAGTGAAGAATGACCCTACAAAAAACCAATGCAACAAATTTTTTTTTTCAAACATCATATCAATAAAGTGTAAACACTATAACTAATTTGCTGTCAGTGCAGACAAGGACAAAGAGTCATAGTATGTAACGGCCCCGGAAAATATTAAAAAAAAAAAGAAATGAGTATTTAAATATATTGAATGCGGAAGCGAGATCAAAATTTCAGTTAACATCCCTTACACGAAAAAACCCAAAAACGTACTTAAAATATAAAAGGTTAAACTAACTAAGAAAGAAACTCGAAAATAAACTATGCGTATGACTACAGAGTCTCTAGGCATCCCCTTCGTCGTCCTCCTGCGGAACGGGCTCGGGAACCATGTCTTCCTGATCTGAAATGGTTAATTAAGGAGTGAGCTACACTAGCCCAGTAAGAACATCACGATATCTCACCGTCACGGAGATAAAGGTGGGTAGAAAAACACAAAAAGACCAATGGAGCATAATTTACAATAAACTCGTTTATTAACATGAAAACCTTTACCATCCACTTACCTTGGTGGAATTTATGAAAACAATATGAGAAAAACAATAACATCATCATAATCATTGAATAATCTAAGCTGTAAAACATAACACTTATCACGCCTCTTGTAATTCAATCATTGTACAACATATCTTTTTCTCATTTACCAGCCTACTAGTATCCGTGGGGGTCCATAGGGGTCCCGCTACCCGTTAACCTTTAACATTCATAATCAGTTTCCAGGGCCGTCCCCATACCCCGTCCGGTATGGGCGCCAAAACCATGAACCTCAATACCCCGTCCGGTATGAGGGTGAAACGGGCCGTTCCCATACCCCGTCCGGTATGGGCGCCAAAACCATAAACCTCAATACCCCGTCCGGTATGAGGGTGAAACGGGCCGTCCCCATACCCCGTCCGGTATGGGCGCCTAAACCATAAGATCTCCATACCCCGTCCGGCATGTGAGACCACAATCCCGGTAGGGTTCCCTACGGACCCGGTCCGTCCACCATCTCCCAGGATATCTAGTCAGGCTGACCCCATCATACAATTATCAGTCTATACAATCTTTCATTTCCCTTTTTCCTCAATAAGCATCATCAATTCACATTTAAACAAGCAAATCGTAATTCATGCCGAACAGACAACATACAGTATCAGTTCTTCAGTCATTCAACCCATAATTAATAAAACAGTAATATATGCATTCGAAACTATAAAATGAACACATCAAACCCCATAATGCATTTAAAGCTGTAAAACAGGCCAAATAACAGTAAATCATCTATCACACTAGACTCGGGCTCCATTAGCAACCTTAAGCAATTTCACACATGCGTTAATTCAAGAAATACCGTTTTATCATTTTGAACTTTAATACCGTGATAGGAAATAGGGTGAGGGGTCCTTACTTGTTTTCGAGATCCGAATACGATTCACAGTGCGCCTGCAGGCCTTCCCTAATTTTCCCTGAATTTTTCCCGGGGAACTGAAACACACTAACAGTACCTGCACGTGTTCCAAAAAAAATCCAAATTAGGCCCAGGGCCCCTTTCGGACCAAATCGCAACTCCGGCACGGCGGCTCCGCCGTGCTCCGGCGACGGCGCCGCCGCTGGCGGCGGCGAGTCGCCTCGGGTTGACTGTTTTCGGCCGTTTTCGGCCGAATTCGGCCACACTCGCATTGGTCCTTGTCAGAAAACAGCCCTAGGGCCCTCGGGGGGCCAAAAAATCACGGAAAAACGGAGCTTACCGGCGGCGGCGCTCTCGGGTGCAGCGGCTCTCCGGCGAGGTTCGTGTTTTGGTGATTCGGCTCCGGTCAACCTGTAGAGAAAAGAATGGTGATCACGGTGATATAAAAATTGCATCGAACGGAGGCCGGGAAGGGCCTCGTCGGAGGCAAAAACCGAGAGGGGGCGCGGCGGCGCCGCTGGGCTTCGGCCGCGTATTCCGGCCGTTTGGCCGGGATTTCGGTTTCGATTTGGCCATAGGAGGAATCAGTGGGGAAAAACGAGTCGGGGGTATGAAATTTACCTCGATCGGCGGTCGGAAATTTCCCCGGTGCGGCGGCGAGTGGCGGCGGGTGGCGGCGGTCGGCCTCTGGTTCGTCTCTCCGGCGAGCGGCTGGCGGCTAGGGTTTGTGGTCTGGTGTGGGGGTTCTATTTATAACCCCTTGCCTTTTGATCACAGCCGTTCATTTTGTTTTAATCTGGGCCGTTCGTTTTTGATTGAATCTGGGCCGTCCGTGCGATTGAATCTGGGCCGTCCGATCGCGTGATTGATCTGGGCCGTCGGATCGCACCCACGCGGATCGCCAACGTGGCTCCTTTTGGAGTGACGCGGTCTTGCCACGTGGCAGGCCCTGGTTGGCCGGGACTGCTGACTGGGCCTGCTGACGTGGCTGCTGACGTGGCCGCCCCTTTTTTTTTTTTTTTTTTTTTTTTTTTTTTTTTTTCCCCCCCCTTTCCGGGTGCTACATAGTACTTATCTTTGCTCAAATTTCTTCAAGTAAAAATTATAATTTCCCTCCATCAAACTCTAACTTTCTTCTCACCCTCACTCACAAATATAGGCTATTATAAAATGAAATATATGCAAATCAAAGAAAAAATAAAAGAAATACAAGCAAATCAAAGAAAAAATGAAAAAAATTGATGCTGGAAAAATCAAAGAAAAAAATATAAAAATACTTATTAATTGAGAAGGTGAAGAACGCAAATCAGAAGTCGAATCAATGAACCAACTTTTGGAAGCAATCAGAGAAGAAGAACAAGAAAAAAATCGATCGAAGAAGAAGAAGACCCGTCCTACATGTGTGCGGCTTAAGTGATGAAGAAGAGAAATTAGGGTTTTTAGTTGTCATGATAAATATAGAATTAATTAAATTAGATGGGGGTATAATAGAAAACAAATATTATGTCAGTCAGATACCACCAATTCGGTGATTTAAAAATTCATTCCAAAATTTGTCATTCAAATATTATTTGTTACCATTAGAAGTTGAAATAAATACTATTTTCTCACGCCCGTAAAATACTATACATTAAATTTCTACCACTCACCATGATCCAAACAAAGGGTAAAGTGGATAAGCGTATACCAGCAAGGTTGAAATAAGGTCCTTTCACCGATTCCCCCCTTTTCTCTCTCCTTGATCCCTCTGTTTTCTCTTACTGCTCTCAATTTCGCACCAGACTCCTCTGTTTTCTTCTATCAATTTAAACCAGAGGCCTCTCGTTCTTTTTTCCTTTTTATCTCTCGATTCTTCTCCTCTTTATTGTTATTTTTTTCTACCTAAGAATCTCAAATATTTCACTTTTTTATTCACAACCCTCTTATTGATCGAGATCCAGTTTTTCTAAATTCTCTCAGGCCAACCCTCCTCCCTCTTTCCCGCTTCGATCTCCTTTCAGAATCTCGTTCGGTGTCCTGCTGCCAGTTTCTGTGACACGCAGGGTTCAACTTCTAAGTCACTTGTTCCTCTCTGCCGAAAAGTCCCGCTTATCTATCGTCTTCTCCATCTTATTGCGACCTCTCGTGTCTCCTCTTCATCATTTTCTCCCAACTCTCCTCTATGTCTCGCCATTGTCACCTCAGAAGCAAATCGAAAGAAAACGGCACTGAAACGTTGCCATTTAGTAAATGGGCCAGACTAGGGGAAATGGTTGATTATGTGGGTCTATATGGGCTTAAAATGGGTTTTGCATTTTTAAAGTTAGGTTTAATTTAGAAAGTAGATTTTAGTTGCATATTGGTCTCTTAAATAGGATTTAATGGAAACACTAATTTGATTTGAGAGAAAATTAAAAAGATTATGAAGAAAATAAGTTTAGGTCACACATAAGGGTTATAATAGTCATAGTAATAAACTTTAATTATTCAAAATTAAAAAAATAAAAATTAACTCAAAATAAAATTAGGTAAATGTAATTTTATGTATATCTAAACTGACTCGTCAATCAATATTAACAAAAGAAAATAAGTGTTGAAATGAAATAAGAGATTCATCAACTTATCAATTTCTCAATCATTCATATTATAAAAAATAGTAATATTTCATTTGATTATACTATTTTATACTTGAACTATTTATAACATAATTTCTTTAAAGATGAAGGGAAATAATTTTTCTATGTAGTCGTGCTAACGTTGAATATTAGTATAATCACTAACTTTAAATCGAGTAGTTTCAATGATCTTATTTTAAATCGAGTAATTTTAATAATCTTATTTTAATCTTTGTCAATTGAAAGATTTCGACAAAGAGCTTTACTACCCATATTGAGGAACTATCCATCAGCATACAAATCAAACTTGACCCTCGTAAGTATCAATCTGTCATTGACTAGTGTAGCTTTGTTAAAAGAGAGCAAATACACAATCTCAACTACCAAATTTAAAGGTTGTCTAGCATAATATAAAAATGATTCAACCAAAATCTTTGTACTCTTCAAATTTGATTAGGAAGACTAACTATCATTTACATTAAAATAATAATAAACTAAGTAATTGATTATATTATATCAAACATTATAAGTCGATTAATACTATCTCGTAATATATATATATATATGTATATAAAGTGATAAATTCAAAAAATTATAATCTTTACATAGAACATAAAATTTTTAACCACTTAATCACCATATTATTAGTTGCTCAATGTGAAAAAAAAAAAATTATCATACTAATGAAATATTTTATTTTAACTACTATTTTGTCCAAAAAAAGCAATTTCCCAATTTATTATATTCCGTTTCTTTGCTGCTCTTCCCTCCCTCGCTCCTCCCAATCGAAGCTTTAGGTCCGTTTTCTTTAATGTCTGCTACAGTCGCTCATTTACGCCGACAACACCACACCGGTAAACACCAACTCTGCGTCGTATCGCCTTTGCTTCTCCTCTTTGTAGCCGACGCCATATCAGGACGCCTCCTACTTTGCTTGTCTTCTTTTTCCATTTGGCAACATCTCCTTCTTCCACAAACTTGTTTCTTGAGTTTCTCCATCTTCTATAGTGTGAATTGTGGCCGGGTTTGTTTCTCTGTAGAAGAATTTTCTGTCCTTACTGCTTGCTAGAACAATAGAAGTTGAAGTTCTCTACTCTGATATCTCAATCTCAACTCGGTACTGAACTCTCTTGCGCTGGTCTTCATTAAAGTTTAATAATATTTATTTGACTTTTCAAAAATTAGATATCAATATTTCCGTGAGTCTTGAGCAAGTGAAAATTTTGTATTTTTTATTGTTAAGTTTTTTGTTTATTTTCTTTTTTGGTTGAAGACATTTTGATTAAGACGGAGATTCTATTCTTCTATGTTTGTTTGAAGCTGGGTAAGTGGTAGAAAGAAAATGGGAACTGAAAAGTTTTATTTTCAGCTTGCTGTTTGTTGGGTATTTAAAAAATTAAAATCCAAGGCTTATGTGCGGTAAGGGCGGATTTTTTTTTTGTTTTGAGCGTATTATGTTTATTTCTTATTTTGCTACTGGCGTCCTGGTTTATATCAAACTTTAACTATTTTGCTTTAGTTTCTTGCTTCCTTTTTGCTGTCAGATTAACCTATCAAATGTTGAACCTTTGAAGTTGCAACTGTGTTTTAAGTGTATGAGTTAATACGTCCCTTTGCTTTTCTGTACTTTTGTTTTGAGAGGTTGTAGAGCTGAAACGGGAAGTGGTCTAGTTAAGAAGGTCGAAACTTGAAACAATGCAGCACTATCAGATGACTAAGACTCACTAGGGTTAGCATATTTAAGAAACTGTTGTATTGATTATGGCGATGATCACTTATTTGTAGGTATAGTTTTCATGTGTATGGTTAGGTTTTCTAGATATAGTTTATATGTGGGATTACTGATTAGGTTTTAAGTTTACTGGTCATTTATATGTCATTCTGTATACAGAATGGATTTGAAGTTCTATGGATGGTTATGTTTTATTTATATGCATTGAATATATTTAGGGTTGTGAAAATCTTAAGTAAAATCAGGTGTTGCAATTTAACTTTATCGAGCTCAATTGAGCTTGGTTGTGTTATTTTTGAGTCTATTTTATATTGACCACGAGTTCAAGTTCTGGTTTTTCTGATGCTTGGCTCTTTAACGAGCTCTTTTCGAACCAAGCCTAAAACTTGCATTTCTTCAAACAAGCTGAGCTCTACCCAAAAAAGAAAAAGCTGGAGTTGAGATTCAAGTCGAATTCAAGCTTGATAATATTCAAACAAGGCAAGCTCAAATTCTCTCATATAAGAAATTCATGCAACAAATTATCCAAAACACTATACTTCAAATGATTTTGAATGATATGATGTTTTGTGAATGTTTCCTATATCAGCACATTATTAGGTAAAGATAATTAATAATAACTGCATGTCAGTTCATACTCCCCATACTGTATATTTTTTAAAATATTATTTCAGATTTTAATAGTAGTTACTCTACTATGGTAACTAGTTTGTTCTCTGTTCCTGCTGACATTTGCTTTTTTGGCAGTGAACAACTTGCTTTCTTTCTCGTCATGTATTGGCAGTTATGCTAGTCTATGGCTTCACAAATAGCCCTAATATTGGTGTTCTCGTAAAAGGTTTTGCTTGTAGAAGAGCCTACTGCAGCCGGAATCATTTTAATCAAATTAGCAGAAGGCTGGACATCTGCTGCCAAAATTTCAATAACCCATGGAGAAGATACTTTAGCCATTCTAATCCACTTTCAAAATTTGCTCCTAGTGAAAAATTTTCCATTCTTCACTCAAGTGGTCTTCAGCATTGGTTCAAGAACTGGCAAGAGCAGAGAAAGCACAAACTGACGGCAAGCACATTTGGTGGGGCCGTTGGTTTTTGGCCGAAGCGAAGAGTCCAACTATGGTTAGAGAAAATTGGAGCAATAGAACCATTTTCTGGTAACCTAGCTACCTGTTGGAGCAATATCAAAGAGGAGGAAGCACTTGAAAGATACAAATTGATAACAGGAAACACTGTTCTGTTTCCAAAGTTCCAGATATATGGTGAGAACCACCCAGAAGATGATTGGTTAGCTGCTTCTCCTGATGGAGTAGTTGACCATCTTGTGTATGGGTTGTCTTCACGAGGAATACTGGAGATAAAATGTCCATTTTTTAATGGAGATATGAGCAACGCTTCCCCTTGGAAGAGAATTCCTATTTATTATATTCCCCAAGCTCAGGGTTTGATGGAAATAACGGATAGAGATTGGATGGATTTCTATGTTTGGACTCCTAATGGTAGCAGTTTATTCAGATTGTATCGTGATCGAGAGTACTGGGATGCTTTGAGAATAGCACTTTCTGATTTCTGGTGGAAGCATGTTCAGCCAGCGAGAGAACTGTACAGGAAATCTTTGATCACAAATCCTCTTGAACAATTAAGATCACTGAGGCCAGCACCCAGGCATGAATTTTGTGGTTACATAGTATATGAAAGCAAGCGAGTTGTTGACAATTCTAAGCTGTTGATTCGTGAAATCAATGGAAGACTGCAAAACTAATGCATATAGATATCTGGGGTCTAAACCTTCCATCGTTTGTGTTCTCCAGTAAATAGAATTTCATTTTCCAAATGGCAAATAACTGACATGGAGTTTTGACCAGATTTGTGCAGTTTAGTAGATCCATAGCATATGACATTCCATTCCAAGAATTGAGATTTACAGCTAAAAGAATACAATTGAAGATGGTTGGCATGACGTGATATAAAGCGGAATTCTTGTGCTCTCAGCTTTTGCTAAGTTGAGGAAGGTATGACTAGATTTTTCTCATGTTTTTCTTGCTTGTATAAGTTACACCTTTGTTACACACCTTACTCCCCATTTTAGTTTGATATGTTCTCTTGATAGCTTGGTTCATCCAATTTTTGTGAGTATAAGGTTACTTGGTTGGTTCATCTCTTGACAGCTTAGCAAATTGAAAGAGAGAGAAAATGACATTTTCTGCAATGAAACTTGGATTTATAAGGTTTGTTAATGACTTAGGTTGAACTGAAAGAATTTAGATATTTCTACAGTTCCTGCTAGAGATTCTAGATCTCTTTTAGTCATTTACCTCTAACTTGGATGTAAATGGCTATATATTTTTATTTATAATACTACATTCTGGTAACAACAAAAGTGACAACTTCTAACAATGATATAAAGAGCTTGTGGAGTCCCTTTCTGATTAATACTTAGATTTGTTGGTCAATTTCAGGAATGTTAATTTCAATTCAAAATCAAGAAAAAAAGTTTTAAGCTTAGATCTCCAACTTCTTCTCATTTATCAATTAGGTAGTTGAATTGTGGATCTTCATCTTCAGAAAATCGTCTCACTGAGTTTTACTTCTAAACACAGTTTTCTTTGAGAAAACAACTCTACTTGAGCATTTGGTATTTTGATTGCATTTGGATTTTAAGGATGGTGACATAGGATTAAATTAAAGTTAAAGCAGCCTTATGCGCATTGATGGATTAAACATCAAGGTGAAGGTTTACATGAAATATGAAAATGTATGGAGACAGCACTACAATTGATCATTTTGGTAATTTTTTTTTCCTTGCTTTATATGGTTTTTCTGTTATTGAAGAGCTTCAATTTTTGGCAGGATGGTTTTGAGGAGTCAGCCATGTACTAGTATAGTTAATTTCCCATTTTTGTATAGCACTGGGTTGTTCTAAAACCCTTGGTTTTATTTCTACACACCAATTCTCTTAATAATTACTGCCTTTAAAATAGGAACATAATCGAGTATATTGTTTTAGTACTTATTGAAATTGTGGTAGTTATTGTTTGCAATGGACGATAGGTTGATTGAATTTTTTGTTGGAAGTTTGATATTTTGGTGCTAGTGATTGATGGCAGTGAGAAATTAACAAAGCCATTAGATTTTACTATTGATGGAAGTTCAGTTGAGTTACTTTGTGGTCACCACTTTGTAGCCTCCACCAGAGGTGACAGGGGAGGTGAGCATGTATGACTTTGTAGTGACTGCCAGAGGATTTAATTCCTTTCTTGCTTCCTTTTCTTTTATTCAACTGATATCCACTTCACAGTTTGTGTTTGACAATGGTCCTGCATGTTAAGGGCCAAGGCCAGCCTTGGAAATTTGTTTTTTTTTTTTAAAAAAAAAAAAAACCCTGCCTTGGAAATTTGTGTTCCTTTTAAATGCTAGTCATCTAGTCAGTTTTGTATTTTCACTGCATTTTAGTCTGGAGTATTACTCTCCTGCACTGATATCCTTGGGTTTTGCAGTTGTATGCTAATGAACCAATGTTTTCAAGTGAAATCTCTTACTATTCACTCATCTTCGGAACTTGGATCTTTCTTTCATGCATTAGTAGCTTACAAACTGGAAAGTTGATCATTCAATTCAGTAGCCTCTGATCATCAGGCTGAATGCATGGGACTACAGTTTAGATGTGTTTGGTTGTTTGGACTATTATACAGGTCATTTGAATACAGATAAATAGTTTTAGTTGTTACACTTTATTTAAAAAAAATGTTTTAGTTATTGCACAAGAAATGGATATAAATGATGACACAGGATTTGAAGAGGCAAGGCAAGAGTTCATGCAAAAATGGATTACATAATCTATATCTTTTAGTTTTGGTGCAAGGTTTTGATTGTTTGACTCTTGTTTATAACTACTGACGCGAAACTGACATCTGGTAGACCTCATAGATTAGGCATTGATATTTTTCTGGGATTTGTGTTCAAGCTGAATACAGAGGATTGCAAGTAACTGTGCTGACAATGACAGCACATTCTAATTTCGAGTTCTCCTAGTCTCTAATTCAATAGAGATTTCGGAATTGCAGACGGAAACGAGATTTCTTAATGCAATGGATTCTATATATGCTGCTATCCTCTTAGTGGGTTCCAGAACAGGTCATTAATGCAGCCAGTTGCAGTTATTGGAAGGTTTATATGCATCATTACAATATGCTTGTGGACAGGTTTGTAGAACTTACATAATCAAATCTTGAATATTTTTCTATGAATTACTCAAGAGTTGGAAAATTTTTAGAATGGGTCATCAGGAAACTTTACCACTTGCTTGCAGTTTGTGGCTCAGCTCCCATACATTTTCAGGCGGACCATTGTCTGTGAAGTTGTAGTTGTGCCATAGCTTGTGATGGAATTTGAGGGGACAGATGTGAAGTTCTTTTGGTTTATGTTCTTCATGTGCTTCACCTTTGCTTACCTGATTTTCTACGTGAGACAGTCGCTCTCACAGCCAACCAGCACATTGACATTGCTGCCACTGTATCTGCTTCATTGCAATTGTGAAACCTCTTTGAAGGATTCTTTGTTCCAACTGTAAGTTTCAACACACTTATGCATATTTCTGCTTAGCAATGGAATACTGTTTTGATGCCAGAGGATTCCATTATTGCTTCAACATTTGCATTTGCAGGTATGAAGGAGAATGAGTCGGGCATAACCGTGAGAAAGTGAGAAGCTAGATTGGGTATAGAGATGACCTGGTGTCTTCTGTATTGCATCAAATAAATAGGATTGAGTATCACACTTGCTTGTATTTAATGTAAAGACATAACGAGGGAAACTGGTCCTGAAATATATCTGGATGCAGCTATTTTTGTTAATTTACTGGGATCATTGAGCTATATTTTATCAAAAAATAATGTATAAGCATGTTTATATTGTATGTTTTTTCTTTTTTCAAATGAGTTTATATTGTATGCTTGTGCCAACATTTGGGCTGTCTTTCATTTATAGGATTTTATGATATATTACAGGAAAATTAGATTTCTATCAAATTGTACCACATTTTATGTCTAATTCATCTCCTTAAATAAGTATATTTAAAAAAAAACAAAAAATTATAAATATTTTACTTTCATTTCTCTGCTCAATTCAAACATGCTATAGGAACCACATTGAACCAAATTTCAAAAGACCAATATCTGCAGAAACAACAGAGCAGAACTAAATGGAATACAACCTGAGGAAACCAAAGAGAAAAAAAAAAAAGTAATATGAATGAAATGTATCAGCACATTAGCTACATGCTTAAAACAATGAAGTCCCCTTTCCCTTCTTGTCTCCACCAATTTCGAAGTGCTTGCACCTCTGTAATAACAAAAAATTTTGCATTAAGATAGCAGGAGGCAAAAAAAAAAAAAAACAATATCCAAATTAAGATACTACCTCAAGACACTTACCTTGATCGGGTGTTGGGACACATGCTTGCAACTCTGGCACTGAAGTCTCAGAACAATCTTCTTAGTAGTCTTCGCCTGTAAAGAGCAAACGCAATTGACCCGGAGGCAAGTTAGAGTTAATCTTGGACCTTATTGAATCTTTTAAAACAACAATGAGGTGGGTATAGAAAGAAAATTTTGAAACCATGTTTGTTCGGCAAGCTCATCTTCATGAATGATTTATTTCTATCCTCATATTCATGAAGAATTTTTTTTGGGTGTCATTATTCATGAAGAAATTGATATATTATGACAAGGTTATCTTGATTAATTGGGAAGAAAAGGGGACAATTCATTTCCATAGACATGCTTATTCATGAAGAAAATTCTTTTTTCCTTCAAATAAAGATTACATATTAGAGATAATAGGGAGTAAAATCTACATGCAAAGTAACATATCGTGTTATATAAGTCGGATTTAAGTTCCTTTGAAAGCATATTATTTGATAGGTCTATTATAGAAAATGCCTGTTTCTTTTCTTTTCATGTCCTTCTATATGCAAGAAGACATTGCATAGAAACAATCAGTTGCTCAAAAGGTTGACAAAAAAAATTAATACTAACTTGAAATAAAAGTTAATAAACAACAAAATTTAATCCGTATATTAGAGATATTTTAAAGCGAAAAGAATTGAAGTAATACAGATAATGAAAACACAAAAAAGAGAAGATTCAAGTCAACAAAACCAATCTTCCTCACATTACAAGTAAACAAAATCAATCTTTAACGACTACATGTAAATTAGAACCGAACTGTTATTCCTCACCGTTCACCAGGTGTCTACTATTGAAAACTACTAACTCATATAACTACCAAATCCTAAACATGAAAATAGCAGCAAGCACTAATGCAACAAAGAAAGTTGTTTGAGTAAATAAATTAATCACTGAAAGTTTAGCATTATTAAAAATCCAAACGGGAATACTTAGAATTACACTTGGTGAATTAGCAATAGCAGGGAAAAACAAAAAGAAAAGTACCTTCTTGTGGAAGACAGGCTTGGTTTGTCCACCATAACCAGATTGTTTCCGATCATACCGCCGCTTTCCTTGAGCTGCAAGACTATCCTTCCCCTTTTTGTACTGTGTTACCTTATGCAAAGTGTGCTTCTTGCACTCCTTGCTTTTACAGTACGTCTTCTTTGTCTTCGGAACGTTCACCTGCAATCACAATAATTGCTTATAATAATGACGACCAGTTTAGGAACAGGGAGACTCTGCAATTAGATCAAGTAATAACTTAGGATCATACAATGCAGAAGCTCAATAATTGATTAACTCGCGAAATTTTACTTGATAACGAGAAGTTTCAGGCATAATTGTTACTATTGACATGAAGAATGAAGAGAACAACAAAGAATTTCAAACTACGGTTTAACTTTTTCCTTTTCCTTCTCTTTCTCACACTTTCCCGGTAAACAAACACGACCAGTATTCGAAATTGTTTAAAATCAAATATACAACGAAACTAAATTAGTATCGGACTGGAAGTAAAAAGCGCCCAATCAATAGATCTTCGCTTGACCTACTTGATGAGAATGCCTATCCTCAAAAGAAAAAAAATAGAAAAACCATTTTTATTCTGCAACTAATTTGAAATTTCAGCAGGAACGGGAACAAACAAAAAATGAAAAGTGAAACAATCTACCATTTTTGTTTCTTCTTGATGGTGAGCTTCTTGGTGTTGGACTGCAGAGAGTGGACGAGTGTTGGTTGGTGTTGGGAGTATATACGAGGAGTTTTGGGAGAGTGGTAATTCTGTAAACCCCAATTTTATCTTCTTTGTTAAGACGAACCTTGGGCTTCTGGTGTGGACCGAGTCCAAAGCCCGAGTATCCACTTGAAATTTTTCACTCAATATTTTAAAAGAATCCACATTTGAAAAACCCTAAAAATCAAGATTTGCCGCAAGAAAGCATCAGCTTGCCCTCATCGTAAGCACTTGATTGGCAAAGAGTAAGAAAAACGAGCCAACTCCATAGCCGGTTGACACGTCTGAATCATACACACAGGAAGTTTACTACTTTTCAATGTCCTGGATAATCTTGGGCCCACCAATAAGAAACCAAATATTGCTTACTCCGTTTCTGCAAATTTTCTCGGCAACCAAACAGGAAAAAGAATGCAAAACCCAGAAACTATACAAACATTCCTCAGCAACCAAACAAAACCCCATGGAAGCATGAACTTTATTAAACCAACCCAGATATTAAAAACACCACTGGAGTTCTGAGAGTAAGGATAGTAAAAAAAAACAATTCATGGTACTTCTCCTCTGCTAGGCCGCAACAGTTAATCCGAAAGCAATGAGATTCAATACAAACGCGATAACCACTAGCAGCTTTGACGCCATTGATGTCCTGGTTTACTACACAAGAAGCTCTAAATACCTGCTCGTTTTTTCCTCTCTCAACTCGCTCTGTAAACATCTATAAATGCCGATTTAACTTGTAAGATATTACGAGAAAACTAAATTAAATGAAACTAATAGTATCCAAAGTCCAATATGTTTCTCTAAAAAACCACTGATATTTAATTTAACAGAAAGTCGTGCATTGTCCTCTTATTATACTACTACGTTATATACAAACACGTTACATATTCGTAGGACGTAAAACAGGGGAAGAAGATGCAAAGGATAAAATTGGCAGTAATCTAAAGTAGAAAACAAAGCAAAGCTGTTTTCAGTTATTAATATTGTTAATCCTGGGAGATATATGAGCTTGGAGTGGATTCTTCATAACCGTAGTAAACTCTTGCTTCTCCGACAAGTCCACATCATCGATGGGATTCCACTGAAATTTCCAAATCAAATTAGCCACAAAATACTCCAGATGAAGCATGGCAAGATATAGACCAGGACATATTCTCCTCCCAGCTCCAAATGGCATCATCTTAATATCTCTACTTCCAGTTATATCAAAACTTTGTAATTTATCATCACTGTTCAAGAATCTTTCTGGTTTAAATGCCATTGGATCATCCCACACTTTGGGATCCCACCCCATTTCAGCCACTGCAAAATTCACACTTCCATTTTTAGGTACCAGAAATCCACCCAGCATAATCTCATCTGTCACTCTATGAGGCAACACGAAGTGCCCGGGTGGATGTCTTCTTAAACCTTCCAAGACTATTGCTTTCAGATATGGCATCCTCTGTAAATCCTCTTCTTTCACCTCCTCTTCTCCTTCTCCTACAACCGCTTTCATCTCCTTTAATAATCTTTCTTGAATATATGGGTACTTCACCAAGTTCGCCATGATCCATTGCAACGCAGTCGAAGTAGTGTCTGTGCCGGCGTTGAGGAACTCGGAACAGAGGCTAACCAGTTCTCCTTCTTCAAGCTTTCTCCTTCCTTCCTCCGGGAGCTCCAAATCTATCAACGTATCCACATACGACAAAACATGTTCTTTATTATCTTCATTGACTGTTTCTAAGTTCTCTTCCTTCATCTTCTTTCGCGCTCTTATCAAGGGAATCAAAACAGTTTCCTGATCTCTACGAAGTTGCAGAAACTCCTCCCACCTTTTCCGAAGAAGAAACTTGGTCACCCTCGGCCAGAAATTGAGGACGTTGAATTTTGCAAAACCCAACAGCTGGCGACGCTGAACGTGCTCGATTTCTTGAATTTGTTCCTGACTGAGCTTGTCCCCGAAACACATCAACACCAGCAAGCAAAACATGGCGTACTGGAAATGATCCACGACCCGAACACATCGACCCGATTCCTCCCTTTCCGACCCGATTCGTTCCAGGAGAATCCTCAATACCCATCTGCGAGCATGGCCGTAGGTCTTCACTCGCGAGGGATGGAGGATCTCGGCGGTCAAATTCCGCCGTAATAGTCGCCAAGTTGGTCCGTACGCGGCGCTACTGACATTATGCTGGTTACTTCCGACGATCTTGCTGGTAGGAAGCGCCGGCGGCCGGTCGGCAAATACGGCGCCGTTTTGGATCAATGCCTGGTGAGCTAACTCCCGGTCGGCGATGAAGATTGCAGGACGGCTTCCGATGCGTAAGGTGATCATCGGACCGAATCGGGCGTAGAGAGACCGGAGAATTGGTTCTATCTCGGTGACTGTTCGACGGAGCCATAAGATGTTTCCGATGATCGGAAAGGTGAATGGGCCGGGAGGAATAGAAGGAGAAGAGGGTTTCTTAGTCGTGGAGGAGAGAAGGAGAGAGAAGATGGATTTGAGGAGGAGGGCGAAGGAAATGGAGATAAGGATGATAAACCAGGTTTCCATGATCCTTTTTTGCTCTGCTAATCAGCCGAAGTTGCTGGGACGGTTTCTTTTTATACGGTGTCGTGTGGCTGTGCTTCCATACGAATTGTGTTGTGAGAAAAAAATCAGTAAGAGGATGGTGATTGGGTTTTGAATTTTCTGTTACGCGTGTAGACATGCAGTTGTCAGTCTCTGCTTTGAATCCCCTAGAAATTTCCTTCCGTTGCTTAATGTGCTTTAAAAAACCATTCGTAAGCAATGTCGTCATTTTAGGTCAATTAATTAAAAATTAATAATTTTGAATGATTATTTGTTTTTTTATTCACAAAATATAAACATTTGCATGATAATTTGTGTTTGTATATTATTATTTAATTAATAAATATATAAATTTAATGGAATAAAATATAATTATAATAAAATAAAGTCATTTTTAAATTTTTTGTGAAATGAGGCATGAAACGAAACGAAATTACTATAAAAAAAAGATAAGTAAATAGTTAACTGAAATATTAGGAAATCATTTTATATGAATTTGTTAAGACGTTTACTAAAAGTGTGTGTGTGTGTGTATGTGTGTATATATATATATATATATATAGAGAGAGAGAATACAAAACTTTAAAAAGTTAAAAATTAGACTCGAAAAATCTTTTCCGATTTGGGAGAAATAAAAAAAGTGATCCATAAAATCTTCGCGTGCGACTGTGGAAGTCAGGCTTTGCTGCTTTATCAAATTCATGGGTACATATATGTATATATATATATATATATATTATATACCCACATGCATACACGTGCATACACGTTCAGGCTACTCTAAATATAACTTTTTATATCTATACGTCATAAAAATATTCTATAATACATTACTGTAACTAAATTTATTATCCACAGAAATAAAACAAATCACATGTTTATATGGACTATTAATTAAAGCAAACTTGTTTGAATTATATTATGTTTTAATTTAGTTTTTGTATTTTAATTATTTAATACATATAACGCATAATTATAACATAATACACAGTAAAAAATAAAATAATTTAATCTAATTTATTTGTGTTTATATAACACTCAAACCTTTTATTATTTTTTTATTGGAATTATTTTATTTTTATTTCATTTTAATAATTAATTTATTTCGTAATAATTATATATTTTAATTTAACTTAATTTAATAGAAATAAAAATAATAATAATGATAAAATAAGGTAAAATTATTTTTGGGATTTAATTGAATTTGATTTTGGAAAAAATTGGTAAAAATTTGGATTCTAAGGTTTTTTTTTTAAAAAAAATCAGAAATCGGGAGTCAAAACGCAATTTAAAAAAATTGCGCCACGTCAACAGCTCCGGCCAACCAGGACACACCGCGTGGCAGGGATGCTGACACGGGAAGCCACGTAGGACGGAGACACATGTGCGATCCGCGTGCGCGCGATCGGACGACTCAAATCCGTTCCCGCGCGCACGAACTGCCCATATCAAAAGCTCGCATGGACGGCCTAGATCTCATGCGTGTGGACGGCCCAGATTTGATCACGCACGAACAGCCCAGATCGCATCGCGATGGACGGCCCAGATTTATTTCCAATTTAATCGCGATCGGATGGTCCAGATTAAATCGTGATGGACGGTTCAGATTAAAAGGGGAAAGTTATAAATAATCTCATTCACACCCAACCCCAAACCCTAGCCGCCAGAGCCCTCGCCGGAGAAGACGACCCAACCACTGGAGGAACCGACTGCCGCCGCACCGGAGCACTTTCCAGCCACTAAACGAGGTAAAATTTCTTCTATTGGCTTGCTTTTCGATGCTAAATCTCCATGTGGCCAAATCGGAGCCAAACCACCGGCCAATTAGCCGAAAAATACTGCCGAAGTCCAGCGGCGCCGCAGTGGATTTTTTCAGTTTTTGCCTCTGATGAGACCCTTCCCGATTCCCGTTTGATGTAATTTTTACACCACTGTGACCACCGTCCTTTTCTCTACAGGTTTACCAGAGCAAAACACCAAATCGCAACTCGCGCCGGAGGAGCCGCCGCACCCGAGAGCTCCGCCGCCGGTAAGTCTCGATTTTTTGTAATTTTCTGGGTCTGATTTAGGATTTTTTGGGGATATGTGCAAATACCGGAAGTGTGTTTCAGTTTCAGAGAAAAAATTCAGGAAATCTAGGGACTGCCCGTAGGCACAGTGAGAACCTAATTTCAGACTCCGAAATAAGTAAAGATCCCTCACCCTATTTCTTATCACGGTATTAAAGCTTAATAAATAATAAAACGGTATTTTATGAATTAATAGATATGTATAATTAATTGAGATTGCTAATGGAGCTCGAATCTGATGTATTTTTCGTTCAGTTGTTGTTTGATTTATTTTACAGTTTTAAATGCAGTAGAGTGCCTGATGTGTTTATTCTATGGTTTCGTATGCATGAATCACAGTTTCATTTATTATGGTTTGAATTATTATGAACCCGATGTTGTGTTGTCTTATTTGGTGTCCATTATTAGTTTACGTGTTTATGTTTGATTGGGTAATTGAGACTAAGAAAAATAGAAAAAGGTATGTGAATTGATACATGGATAATGTCGACAGCCTAACTAGATATCCTGGGAGATGGTAGACGGACTGGGTGTAGCGCCCAGGAAATTGAAGGAGAAGAGAAAAAAAAAAAAAGAGGGGAGGAGCCACGTCAGCAGCCACGTCAGCAGACCCAGTCAGCAGTCCCGGCCAACCGGGACCTGCCACGTGGCAAGACCACATCGATCCGGGACGGGCCACGTTGGCGATCCGCGTATGCGCGATCGGACGGCTCAGATCGAACGTGCGATCGGACGGCCCAGATGCAATCGCACGGACGGCCCAGATTCAATCAAAAACGGACGGCCCAGATTCAATCAAAATGGACGGCTGAGATCAAAAGGCAAAAGAGTATAAATAAGACCCCCACACCAGACCACAAACCCTAGCCGCCTGCCCTCGCTGGAGAAGACGAACCAGAAGCCGGCCGCCGCCACCCGTCGCCGCACCGGAGGGATTTCCGACCGCCGATTGAGGTAAATTTCATACCCCGACTCGTTTTTCCACGCTGATTTCCCCTGTGGCCAAATCGGAGCCAAAATCCCGGTCAAATGGCCAAAAAACACGGCCGAAGCCCAGCGGCGCCGCCACACCCCTCCTCGGTTTTTGCCTCCGATGAGGCCCTTCCCGACCTCCGTTTAATGCAATTTTTATATCACCGTGATCACCATTCTTTTCTCTACAGGTTGATCGGAGCCGAATCACCAAAACACGAACTTCACCGGAGAGCCGCCGCACCCGAGAGCACCGCAGCCGGTAAGCTTCAGTTTTTTGTAATTTTTTGGCCCCCCGAGGGCCCTAGAGTTGTTTAATCGCAAGGATCGATACAAGTGTGGCCGAATTCGGCCAAAAACGGCCGAAAACGGCCAAACCGAGGCGAATCGCCGCTGCAAGCGGCGGCGCCGTCGCCGGAGCACGGCGGAACCGCCGTGCCAGAAATGCGATATTGGCCGAAAGGGGCCCTGGGCCTAATTTGGGATTTTTTTGGAACACGTGTAGGTACCAGTAGTGCGTTTCAGTTCCCCGGGAAAAATTCAGGAAAAATTAGGGACAGCCTGTAGGCGCACTGTGAAGCCGTGTTCGGACCCCGAAAGGTGTAAGGACCCCTCACCCTATCTCCTATCACGGTATTAAAGTTCAATAAATGATAAAACGGTATTCCATGAATCAACGAATGTGTGAAATTGCTTAAGGTCGCTAATGGAGCCCGAGTCTGTTGTGTTTGTCGGTTAACTGTTATTTGGCCTGTTTTACAACTTTAAATGCAGCATGATGTTTGATGTTTTCATTTTATAGTTTCGTGTGCATATTTTACTGTTTTACTGATTATGGATTGAATGACTGGGATATTAATACTGTATGTTGTCTGTTTGGCATAAATTATTGTTTTGCTTGTTGTATGTGGATTGATAATGCTGACTGAGAGAAAAAGAGAATGAAAGATTATGTAAATGGGTAATTGTATAATGTGGTCAGCCTGACTAGATATCCTGGGAGATGGTGGACGGACCGGGTCCGTAGGGAACCCTACCGGGATTGTGCTCTCCCATATCAGACGGGGTATGGAGATCTTATGTGTTTTGGCGCCCATACCGGACGGGGTATGGAGACGGCCCGTTTCACCTTTATACCGGACGGGGTAATGAGGTTTATAGTTTGGCGCCCATTACCGGACGGGGTATGGGGACGGCCCTAGAATATGATTTCAAGTGTTAAGGGTTAACGGGTAGCGGGACCCCTATGGATCCCCATGGATACTAGTGGGCTGGTAAATGAAGAAAATATGTTGTGTAACGATTGAATTACGAAAGACTTGATAAGTATTATGTTATACAATTTATATATGATTTCATGATGATGATGATGATGTTATTGCTTTCGTATATTGTTTTTTTATGAATTTCACCGAGGTAAGTGAATGGTAAAGGTTTTATTATTGATAAAAGGATTTGTTGAAAATTATGCTCCATTGGTCTTTTGTGTTTTCTACCCACCTTTACCTCCGTGACGGTGAGATATCGTGATGTCTTTACTGGGCTAGTGTAGCTCATTCCTTATTTAATCATTTCAGATCAAGAGGACATCGTTCCCGAGCCGGTTCCGCAGGACGACGACGAAGGGGACGCCTAAAGACTCCATAGTCATATTCGTAGCTTTTACTTTCAAGTTTCTCCTTTAGGTAGTTTGATCTTTTATATTTTGTGAGCACATTTTTGG